GTTTGTGTAGGAGTGTTTTAGGGCCTCAGAACTACTTTGGTGAAAAAGCAGATCTATAAAAGTTCAAGGGGTTTATAGATTACAGTCTAGTGCATGCCTGTTTAAATTCTGTCTGATTTTCCTGTGTGTCATCTTTGTCCTGTATCAAATACTGGTTAAACATCCAGTCTGCAAATCTGATTCAGTGCACTGGGTGCTGCAGTTATTTGTACTACCCAAAATAGAAAGGTGCTATTGCTGTTCTCATGTGATATTGATTTACATTTGCTTTCCCAAGCTATTTCATTGGTGTGGGGCAATTCTGTGCAATAGTTTGAATACTAAATATTTCAAGTAAATTAATTAAATATTTGAAGACAAATATTGAAAAATAAATATTTAAAGAACACTTGTCTAAAATATGTTAAGTGAAAAAAATGTAAGCGGGCAGGATACTGAGAGCAGGAAAAAGAAATGCTGAATATTAAGAATTTACTGAAACAACTTAAAATGAAGAGAAGACTTTCTACAGCATAATATTTCCAATAGCTTGGAGATATGTAGAAGAACAAGTAACTTCTAAAGAATTTTTTCATGTAAATTCATTTTCAGTCAACTTTTTCAAAATAGGAGTGCAAAACACCTTCTTTAACATTGTTATCTGTCATTAAAAGTTTTTTCACGGTTAAAACATATGCAGTGCTCAAGATAGTTGTTTGTCTAGTTTCTTTAGAAAATCGTTATAGCTAATTAACACATTGTGAATGAATAAACATGTTGAGAATTACATTTAGATTGAGGAAATATGTTTTGAACAAAAGTGGGATTCATAGTCTAGACAAAAGTTTTTTCATTTTTATGTTTAATTTTTCAAATGCAAAATTGAAGAATATGACTTTTATAAAAATAAGTGGAACTAAAAAAAACCTCTATCAGTACGATTGATTCAGTAGCCACAGTATAAATGCAGTAGATTTCTTAATTTTGGTTTATCTGTGATCCATATTTTTTTCTAATGGGAGCAATCTGTACTTATGAGTGATCTATTCTTTATAAACAGAACCGCTTTTGAAAAATCTCATATATGTAATAGGTAAAAATGCTTATTGGTGGCTTGATCAAGATTTACAGTAGAAGGAAAAGTACATGGAGTAAAATGCCAAGCATCTGTAAATTCCTGACTGTAAATGTATATGTTAACAGGATATGATGAATATACTTTAAATGAATATTTAGATACGATTCATTCAATTATTTTGAATTGGTTATACTTTTATAATTAAATTTTACTTGAAATTTTGTGTTTATTGAGAGGATATACCTCTAGACTGAATGGGAACAGAGGAATGTGGTCCGCTGTGCTGTATACCACCTTAGTTTATGTGCAGTTAACAGTTATTTGCATACAGAATGTTCCATGGTTCTGTTGGGGATGAGGTTTGGCCGTGGAAAGGGAACGTGTTCGGTACCTTTTCATGTCATTTGGACTGTCTGCAGCAAGATGACAGAGTTCTTGCTCAGTCTCAGTCCTTTTATTCACACCCAAATTCATTCCCACTGTTGAATCATTCACTTGCATTGGGCAATGCTCTCATCTGCATCTAGGTCTTATTCACTCTAGGTAACTTGTACCCTGTACCCGAGTTATCTGTGCAGAGACATGTAGTTTTGCTTTGTGCTTCCTCCCTGTGCTTTCTCTGGAAGTAAAACTTCCTAATTTGTGTTTACTAGTGCTAAGCATTCTGCTTTTCTCTGAGCTTTTAATGGAGTTCTCTTCCCATTCTGTAGGCCTGGATAGGCATATGTAGGCATAAGAGATAGGCATAAGTTGAAGGCCCTAGGGCAAATCAGGGCAAATGCAGTGTTTAGGTGTCACTTTTTGGTGGGAGGACTGTACTTGAATAAAACAAGCTATATTGGTCAAGGCTCTTGGAATACTACAGAGGGGATAATGTCTGCCAGGTAGGATAGCATAGATAATATTAATGTGGTGATTAGTATAACCGACTGTTCTGTTTTGTGATGTGTTTTTTCTACTCTTTTGTAGGTAAATTTCAGGAAAAAATAAAGGCAGAGAGGCGTTTGTTCTGAATTGTTACAGATAGGCAAGTTATAAGGCCTCGTTTAATGTTCTTTTTATCATTATTAGAGGCTCCCTGGCACTGTTTGTGAAAACAGATTTCTTTTTCCTCAGCTTTTATCAAATAAAACATAAAGTAAATGAGAGTAGCCCAGCATTTGTAAGGTTGCTAACCCCGGTGGGGTAAAGACATACAGCTTTATAGTAGATGATAAGTCAAATGCTGAAATAACAGGAATATGTATATAGCAAATGAAAAGGGAAAAAGTAGTTATTTTTTGAGGCATAGTGGCTTCAAAGTTGTAAAAATGTGTGCACAAAAGCTCTTCTTTCATGTGGTGGGGAGACTATTTCTTTGTCTATGCCTAGTTAGCCTTACTGTGTTGTTTTAAACATATAAAACTGCTGGTCTCCACTGACATTCTCCATCTTTGTGAGGCCATGGTTATATGGATGACTATTAGAGAATGACTATGGCATTTTTAAATGATCACTTTTCTCTATATTCGTAGTGAGTCAATGATACCTTGTCCTGTAGACCTGTGTAAATTAGTGCGTCTTGTGTGTAGTAGCCTCAGTGGTAGCCAGAATTCCCTCAGCACTTCTATGATGCTGGTCCCCTGTACGTTTACAATAATTGTCTTGGAAAAAATTCCTGATAAATCAGGCATTTGTATTTCATGGGTGAAATATATGACCTAAGCAGACCAGATCAGGACATCTATACATTATTCCTAGCTGTTTGGGCATGCTAATCATGATTATTAAATAATTTACCTTTAATATGGACTTAAATCTGCTTGCTGTGTTTTGCTGTCTTTGCTACCCTTAACTGTTCTTTTACATGGTGATCGTATTGTTAAATATGCAGATAAGCCATACTGTTACTAATAGAGTCTGTGAGACTGTATTAAACATTTTTGCAGTTACAGAAGTTTAGAGTAATATCAATAAGTAAATCATTATTTTAAATTGGATGCTTAATGATCTTTCACCTTCATAAGCTTGCAGAAATACAGTCAAAACTCATTATCTAAGAAATCTGTCGGATCAACTTATCCATACTTACTTGGATAATGAAGCTGTGGTGGCTAATAATAAAGTAGCCTTTTTAGTTTCCAAAGCAGTGGAAGTTCCTTTCATGTAGCCCTTTTATTTTTGCAGTTTCTTGCCACACTCTGTGTAAAAAGCTTCCTTTTATTTAATTATTAAGACAATACAATGGGCTGTATTCGTGCTTCATTGGCCAGTATGCTTTTTTTTTCTCCTGCTAGGTCAGGCTTTTCATAAGTTATAATAAAGAAGGTAATTTTTTCAGATGTACTGCTGCAGAAAAGGTGATTGCCAGCAATAAGCAGTCTATTGAGTCCAACAGAAGGCTGACTCAGCTTTTTCCTGCCTTGACTTAATCTTGCAGAGGTTTTGTGTTTACTAATTTTGCTGTTAATGACCACATATTTTTATTTGTAATGCTCTGATCACATGATGTTGGTGACACTTTAGTAAATTATGTCATTAGGAGAGGAATTATAATGGGGCTTTGAAGTTAGGCATAGAGTCAAAGATGACATGGGTGTAACCATTTTAACACCCCTTACAGTATGCAAGGCACCTGCTTATTTCCCAGTATAAAGAAATGCCAGAATCTTTTAGTCTCTTTAAGAACCATATTGGTCAAAGAGGTGGAAAAGTTGTTGTGCTAGAGCTGAAGATACTTGCTCTGTACAGAGCATGCTCAAACCTACCCCTCCCACCTTGGATTCCTAGGAGACTATTGCACAAGGATTGCTGATCTCCTAACACGATTCGTATCTCTGGGGGCTTTACTGAATCTGGACTCTCTGCACTGACTATTGCCCTCTTGGATTCTCCATGGGCCCTTTATTATTTGTATGAATTGCATCCGAACCTCAAAAGCAGTCATTACTGGTGACTATTTTTTTTATTTTTTCTCACTTTATGGAGGTGGTGGAAGCCTGGTTCACACTGCTAATTCCAACCACTCAGAAAAGTTCATTTTCCAGTAATTACTACTGCTGTGCCCACGCTAAGGCTCACTTCGATCCTTCCGAATTCAGGAACACAGTGGGTTGGCTCAAAACCTCTTTCTTTCTGCTTATCCCACTCAACTTACTTCTGGAAGAGGATGAGCATGACCTGAGGATGGAGTCTCAGCACCTCAGCCACCCCAAGTGCCCTTGAGAGTGACCTAAATGGGGTGAATAGTAGCTCTTTGGCAGACTTCATTCTTTTAAGAGTCAAGAGATTGAATGCAAACTTGTAGAGCAAATGGCACTTGGAAATGTCATCTGGAAGCCAGTGCTAAACTGCTCTTTATTTCTTTTGTATGAGAAATAAATATCATTTGCTGCTTAGAAAATATTTTACAATTCTGGAAGTTTGCAAAGGAAGCACTTGGTAGGTAAATAATTTCTCTTTAAAATTCCACTGTGCTCCTTTAGCAGCATTAGGCCTTCATACTATATTGTTTTAAAGTAGATACATTTTTTTTTTCTTTTTGCAAAATTATAAAACCCAGGTGTACTAAAATGTATCATAGCAATATAACTAATTAAACCATTTATACAACACAGTAAATTAGTTTACAGTAATCCTAAAACCTTTATGTGCATTCTGTGAGGAATATTTAAATAATTATTTCATCATAAAAGTTAAGGAACTGGTAATACTCCAAGTGTAATCGACACGTTATTTTGGAATAATTACTTAAAGAAGATTGACTAGTTTAAGTTATGAATGTATAATATTTGCTTTGTGAAAAATGGACTAGTTATTTTCACATTTGTGAAAATGCATATAAACCACCCCAGATTACACAGTGCTTTTTAAATTGCAAGTAGACATTTTAGGTGCTCACGTGAGATTTTTGTTAATACGTACGCACTTGATTTTTTTTATTTACAATCTGTTTTGCCCACAGACAGCCTTTTGATTGATTACCAGTTTACCTTCAGCTTATTACAAGAGGATGATCGTCATCACACTGCTATAAACTTTATAGCAAATCCAGAACAGGTGAGAACACGTTTTGGACAAGTTTTGCACAGCTATAATGACGATTTGCATTTTATTTTCAATGTTTGTCAAGTGCCTATAATACATTAGTGCTGTTGCAAATTTGGAAACATTGGCAACTATTCCAATGCATCCATGAGAAAACTTTTTTTGTTGCATTGCTAAATAGTGCATGTACCAACAAGTGTCCCTAAAATATATCATTTGCCTTTTTTTTTTATTGTTCTCATGAATAATAAATTTAAATAACTTCTGGAGCTGAATTAAAGGAGAATAACCTTCAGTTAACAAATCTTTATTATCAGAATAAGAAAGGTCATTTAATTAAAATATATCCTTATATAATGCATTTTTCTCTCTTCGGTTTTATAAAGCAAGTTATTTCATTGCTTGAATCACAATCTGAAAAGATAACTTTTATAGATAAATGTCTCCAGTCTTTATGGCAGCAAAATAGAGGGTGGTTTTTGCTTCTATAGACCAGAATATTACGATTTGTATTTATGGTACAATTGAAAATAAAGAGGATTACAAAGGCGTATTGAATCATGTGTACTACAGCTACAATATTTAATACGTTCTAAGCTATATTTAGTACATTCTGATAGTTTTTTTTTTTTAACTTTAATGTATTTTTCCTGTTTTATCCAGTCAAATAAAAATTTGGATATATCAATTAATGCATCAAACAACTTTAACCTCAATATTACATGGTCTATTGGTTCTACAGGTAAGGTCACATTTTGGTGTGATATCTCTTCCTATATGATCTCATGATCCATCAAGCTGTTTTATCATGATTATCTCTTTGTTGCTAATTTTGATAATAAAATTTAATAAAATGTATTCTTTTTCCATTATCATTATGCTTTATTAATTATATTATTTAAACCACAGATGATAATTTGCAGTCAGAACAAAGCTTCATTAATATGTTAACTTTCACTTCTATTCAATTAAAAATACTTTGGTAGGAAAACCTTGTACTCTATTTAAATTTTTAAAATGACAGCATTATGAAATGCTGTGATTTTAATTAAGATAAATTGCTTTCTTAACTACTGGAGAGAGTGAGATTTTAATTTCTTTGTTTCAGTGTTCTAGCTAAAAATTTAATTATTAACCTTAACATTGATATCAAACAATGAAGTTCTTCTGTGTATGCTGATAAAAGAAGCTGCTTATCTATTTTTCTCCAACTTTGAACCCTATTACTCTTTTTTGTTTAAATAAAAAGGAAGGAAAGCTTTATTTAGAAAGTTTCTCTGAATGGGTTCTGTTGACTTTCTGAAAATACATCCAAGGAGAAAAATGATGCCTGTATTGAAATTTTACTTAAAAAAAAAATCCCATTTTTTAAGAAGAAGATTGTATTACATAAACATCTATTTTAAGCATTTTGACATACCGCGGTTAGAAAATTCTGTGTATTTAAAATAAACACAAAGTCATCAGTGCATTTGCAAAAAGATGATACATATTTATTAGTAGGTATGGTATAGGAGCTTTCAAAAACAATTAAGACACTCTAGCAATAATTTTAGAGGTAGACAACTTGGCATTCTATGCTTTATTAATCAATTATTTTTTTACTGAAGTGGTGTGTAAATTACTAGAGGAAACCATATTAGTTGTTTATCTAACTGGGATAATCCTCATATTTTGAAGTCAGAGTAAGAGTTTTTGTAGAATTTCAATATGAAATGTATCTGATATATCATGGAAATTTAAATACATATTAATGTTGTAGAATAAAGAATGTAAGTACCTTCTGAATCTTAAGTTTCACATGCAGATTTATTTTGACATTTTTTGTGACTATTAGTCATAAATGAGTATATATATATATATGTGTGTGTATGTGGTTTTTTTTTTTTAGCTGGAACAATATCTGGAGAAGAAATTCCTGTTGTTTCTAAGACTAATATTAAGGAATACAGAGATAGCTTTTCCTGTGAAAAATTTAATTTTCGGAGCAATCCAAACATCACTTTCTATGTCTATGTCAGCAATTTTTCCTGGCCAATTAAAATACAGGTTAGTGTGACCATGTGATCATTTTATGCTGGTGAAGATGTTGGTATTTTAGCTTTATATTGAAAAGAATAATTATTTATATTGAAACAAAAGTTTCGTTTATGTTGAAATGAAAGTTTTCACTCATACAGAAAGTAGACAAATAGCTATTTTTTGTATAGTGTATTTCTTTGTATAAACATTATATTGCATTGCTTGTGTTTTTGTCATTTGGGGCTGTTCAATTCCTTACTAAAATGAATCAGACTTTGATCCTCATTTTTATACCTGAAGTTAAAATTATTGAATGTATATTTATACTCATATGTTATGTTTATCTATATATAGACACATACGTAGATATTTTTGTGTATTATCATTAATCTTTAGCCTTCCTATAGGTTGACTATCTATATCATGCTGTAGTATGTCTTCAGAGCTAACATTGGAGTGTTTGTAAATACTGTACATCCTGCACTAATCAGACGTGCTTTATGTGGATGAAAGGCTTTTGGCAGTAGCTTTTTTAAAGAACTAATTCTTTAAAATTAAATTGTTAAAATAACTTTCATAATCTCTTGTGATTTGCTCGGGAAAACAGAGAAAGCTCAAAATACGTTTTAGTGCTTCACAGCTTCACAGCCAGAAATCAAACAGGAACATGGTAACTGTAATTACGAATATTCCAGGTGGAGAGGAAGAGAACACTTTTGATTATAAAATATAGAGCCTGTTTCATATATTTAAATATGATAAATCCATCTACTGAGGAGTCGTCTTATTCAAAATCCTGGACTAAAACATTCATCTTTGCTCTCTAAAGTAACCCGGTAGAGAACTATTATCCCCATGTTGAATTAGGTAAATCTGTCCTTTTCTTAGTCATACATGATGTTTTCTATGAGTGCAAGTGTCATACAGTATCCAAACATGAATTTATTGACTTTGTTAACTTTTATGCGTGTTTAACTTGTATGTTATTTTGTATAAAACTCCTCAAAGTTAAACTCTTTTTTTCATTCTTCACTTGAACAATCTTTTCCACCCACCCATCCCACTTCCTAAGGAGAGAACAACTTCAGTCGTCAAATGACAACTGTCCCTGAAGTAATTTCAGCTATAAATGCATTACACACTCCTTTCTCCTTTTTGCCTTTAAATTTTGAAGATGCCTATATAATCACAGTAAGACAAATGTAATTGAGATACATATACCTGTGCTGTGCAACTCTGTCAGGTGTTTATAGCTTGCAAGTCTTCCACTGCAACATAACAACTTACTGGCAAACATTTTTAATGCTTGTTCTCAAGAGTCCTTAAAAAATGTTAGATTCCTAGTTAGGATTTAAATGGTTAGATTTATTTCTTTATTTATAAATCAAGCCTTTGGTTCATTTTTATTTGTCACAGTTGTGCAGATTTTTATATTTACTTTTAAGATATGGAAATTCATTATTCTAGACTGTTGTGTCTCAGAGATGGGGGTACTTGTGTATTGTATTCCTTTCCTGTCCTGTTAATTTTACATAAAATTTTCTACCATCTAAAAATGAAGTGACTTTCTATTTTACACACAATAAAATGTAATGCTAAGGTTCAGTTCTGGAAACTAAGTTTTAGGATGGCAATATTGTCTTCTGTATTTTCCTTCCTAAGTCCATGAGTTTACTAGTCACCTGTTAAGTTTTACATATGGCCATTCCTTCTACTCCAAGGAAGAATCTGACATTCACATTATCTCTAAAAATCTCTCATTGAATTCACTGATAGTAGATATGGTAAATGGAGTAGGAAACTTTCTCAGAGAAAATATGAAGTCTATTTTTTACGCTAACTTTATGAGACAGGATTTTAAAAGGCCTTTCTAGGACTCAGAGAGGGATGTCATGGTTGTCCCTATCCAAAGGTTATAGTTGCCAAGGGCAGCCTGAAGTGCACTCCCCGTTCTAATATCTATGATCTTCTACAGCCTTAGAATGCCATATTTCATGTTCCTAATCAGCAAAGATGATTGAAATCAGTCTATTATCATATCAAAGAGCTTCCAGATAAAGGATGATAATCCTTAGAAAAATCATGTTATTGTTAAGCTGATGAAAAGACTTTAGGAGGTTCAAGCTAGTGATGGCAGAGTTGTGTTCTGGTTCAGAGCAAGGAACACCTTTAGATGGTGTCTGAACACTCTCTAGACTAGGCTAAAATTGCTTTTCCAAGATTAGCCACATTTGCCTTTCTGTGGTGATTAGGCAGTTAGTTTTATATTCTCATGCAAAGTTTAGATGCATAGATGCTCAAACTCAGCTGTAGTCTTTTTCGCTACTGTACGTGTGCTATGTTGGTCAGATCATGTTGGTTAAAAAACAGCAATATTTTATATCAGCTTGCCACTAAGGATTCATTTAATCCTGTTAAAGCTAAGGAAATTGCTGCTTCCTTGGGAGGTATTCTATTCTTAGAAATAAGAAAGATAGCAGCATTGAATCTTGATACATGCCTTTACACACTACTTTAGTAAGGGACTGTATATTCATTTCAGGAGATGTCTTACATTATTCAAATTCATTCTGAGTACTAGTCTCCTATCTTCACATTATTCATTGTGATTTATCAAGAATAGAATGTATGATGAATGGGTTCCTGAGGAAGCAGAAATAGTTACTTCACCAGCCTTGTAACTGATTTTTCAAGTTGTGTTGTTCATATGTACTTCACCACTCTCCTTTTATACCTGCTATTATTCTGGAACTAGAGCTAAGATTACTCATGTCTTTCACTGGGAAGGTTTGGTGCCGCAGTTACTGATCATTACCATTTCTTTTTCTGTGGTAGAAGGATTTACAGTTCTAATTATAGAACACATTTTTTTCTGTCGAAGTCATGTATATTACCTCCATTTTTGCATTTGGTTGTCTTCAGGATTTTCACATGCACAAGAAAAAACCTACATCCACACACATGATTTTTCGTTTGGTCAATGACTCACAGTTGCTTCCTCAAGTGCTTTTAGTTTGCATGCTTCTTATTTAGCAATTTTGCATACTGTTTTTCTAAGTCATAATAAATCCCTGGTAGTTCTTACACAACGTAGTCTCTTTTGAAGTGCAATCTTTCTTGACTTTGAAATCAGTAACAACCCAATGACCTGTCACTGGCAAGTCTAATGTCCTCAGAGTACAAGTTGTTCAGTGCTAGGTAGCATGGATTTACTTGCCAAAGACAGAAAGTAGAAGCAAATATTAACCCTTTCAAATGGAAGTCCTGCTCTCATCATAAAATTATACTGTAGTTTCACATTAGTCAGTGTTCCTCTTCCATTCGTAGTGGTAACATCAGGCATACAGCTAGCTGCTCGATCAGGAGAATGTCTCTAGAACTTGGGAAAATATTGCATTTAAATGTTGTGATGCTAAAAGAATATTCTTTAGCTAACTTTATAGCTATATATATATATATCTGTATATTACAGCTGTCTCAGGCTTGGATAGGTAACAGTAATTTATGCAGCTTTCATGTTTCTGAGAGGAAATCTGTGTAAGGTATTTTATTATTACAGGATCTAATGTAAGGATAAGATTTATCATCCAGATTCACTGCTCCTATGTTTGATTGTCCAAGTTCTAGGACTAACAGGTCTTTGACAGTCCCAGCCTTTTAAAGATGTTCTGTTTTATATCTCCACTGAAAAGAATTCCATCTCAAAATGCTTCAACACGCAGGATTTCTGCATGAAATATGTAGCAGAGCCCTAACACTTGTTTCTGCTCATTTTTAGTGTATTTTGAGGGTGGATGTAATTCAGACTCCACTGGTGATGGAGGAACTCAGTTTCAACCAGCGCCTCAAATGGTGGTCAGTGCTCCCTGAAGTAGTGATTATTATAATAAAGTTTGGGCTCCTGGCAGCTATGCAAATATTAATAACAAAAGTAACAACATGTTGCTCAGTCTCAAACAACTAATTTTATGGCAAGGAATTTCTATTACTACAGCAGTAAACAGATGTTTTTCATCTTTTTGTCATTGGTGACCGTATTCTGCCAAATGTCTATGTAACACCAACAAATAACTTTAAAACAGTGTCCTGATTATGCAGTTGATGGGCTCTGTCCCTAAGGACAGCAGTAAAATGTTTGTGTTGTGATCAGCTGCCCTCATGCACCTGTACCTTTCTATAATTGTCAGACTTTAAGTCTGATCTCAACTTGAGTTAGCAGCACATTTTTATCCCAGTTTTAAAGCAGATTGTGTTGCCTTTGCAGGAAATATCATCACAATTACACTTCAGGAGTTTCCTACCTGTACTGTCAGAGATTGTCAGCCTTCAGCTATTAGCTAAGAAGGATTCACATGGTTAGGAACACTCAGGGAAAAATAGTATAAAAATCAAAAGATATTAGTTATTTCTTTTTCTCTCTGGAGTAAACTAAAGGCCCAGAAATGTCTGTGCCTGTAATTGGGAGGGTCAGTTTTAATTCCAACCTTAACAGTAAAGCGCTCCGACAAAATCAGGTTTTATTTAAGAAAAACAACACACATGCACACGCACAAAAAAAATTTCATCATTAAATAGTTCCTCCTTTATATGTTTCCATAGCATAGCGTAATTGCTGTTATAATGAAGTTAGATGCTAGTGTACATTTAAAATGCCCAAATATGTTGGAAAGAAATGAATTTATTTTTGCTATAAGAAACCTAGCTGCATTAGGCTTTAGTATGTTTTAATATATATTCTTTTTTTTTCTGAAAGCAATTTTTTTGGGGGGAGGGCAAAGAGGGGGGTTAAACTGGCACCTTGCATTAGTTTCTGTGCCAAAATAAGAGTGAATTATGTTTACATTATATTTGTATATAGGAAAGAGCACTGTTCATGTGTAAAGCTTAAACAATCAGAGCAACTACATTTATAAACTTCCAAGGTTTTTTGAGAGAGGTAACCAGTATTCATTTAGCTTTCTGGCTTCTGTTACAGAATTGATTTTCTTTCCCTTGTTAATAGCCTGCCTGTAGCAACTGAAAAACAA